TGTTATACCTACAATATTGTATTTTTGATTTTTTTATTTATTAAATAATTACATTACCTTTAGACATTTGATTTTCTAATTAAATTTTGCTGCATAATTTTGCTTATAATAAATTTATCTTAGTGTACTTATGCATTTAGATATGCGTCCATATATTTCCCTCATAATTCCCTTAAATTATTGCCCTGTTTCTGATATTTACCTTTTGCATTAAGCCGCAGAGCACTTTTTTTTTGCGGTTAGTTAAAGTACGAACTATTTTTTTTTTAACAAATAAGAGATCAAATTTTTCTGAACTGCAAACAACAGAAATTTCTCTTTTGTTAGTTTATTGATAAGAGATAAGCTAAGGAAATATGTATTTCTAATTGAGAAAATTAAATAGCTGTTGAGTATTTATAAATATTTTATCTGCAGTTACTTTATGGTCAATAAACCAACGATAAGAATATTTAAACATTTCTCAACGATTTTAGTTTTTGAATTATCTATTTTGAGTAGTATGGCAACACACTTATGTCTTAGTGTGCCCGTTTGCTGTTTACAATAAATATGCCACACTGTTATTTGTCTGTTATTTAACATACACCTATCATTCTTCGCTGTTATTGCTCAAACAAACACCAGTCGAGCATTAGAACTAATGAGAGATTAAAGTGGAATTAGAGCTGCTGCGAACAACTAGTGCAGCCAGAACGATCAATCAATGCCTTAATTAATTATTATAATCCTGTCAAAGTACTCATATCATAGCGAACAAAAGAAATGCAACGAAACCGGCAAATGAGTGGGAAAAACCGGTGCCCAAATTCTAACGCTGCGCTGCCGACATTGCTGCTGCAACTGTTTTTGGTGTCTCTCTCTTTGGTCAACTGTTTTGGTGAGTAATTTTCAAAGAATTTGTTGTTTTCGTTCGATTTGTTGACTTCGTTCAGGCGAAGCACGTAGAAAGCTGAGAGTTGAATGAACTTGTTGCTTAAGAGACACTCGGAATCTTTCACTCAATCGTTCTTATAATGCACGCACACACATGCAAGAATGAAAGTTAAACACATACATGTACAGATAGTCTTAGCAGAAGATGGGGAGACTGATGTAGCGCCTATCACTCAATCGTTCTTATTGCTCTATGAACGCATACATATGCAAGCATGACTGTCAGAAACACCGCACACGCACAAACACGATTGAGTTTCTTAACAGTGAGCAAAAGAGCAAGAGAGCGGTAAAGCCACAATTGAGTATTGACTGTGAGCAGAGCGACAGCGCTGCCAGCTGATTTGCTAGTAACGACAACTTGTTGATAACCTTTTGAGCTTAGACTGGAAATCGTCATGTGAAAGTTCTTCCAGTTGCTAATGACGTGTCTCTTCCCCTCTTTTTATTCCCATCTCCAGCCAATTTAATTCCGACTGGCTCTCAGCAGTTTTATCAGCTTTCCAGCGAGGTCAGCCTGGAAGCGGAGCAAGTGAGCTACACATTCGAGACGCAGCTGAGCATTAATTCCGTCTGGAACAATGAGCAGGATCAGCTGTTGGAAATCAAATTGAGTGAAAGTCACGTAAATGCGCAGCAGCGACTGCGTCCAATACTCAGCCTGCCGGATCGGCCCTTCTATGTGGCGCTGGTCACAGGTCAGCCCAAGCAGGTGATCGCGCACACGTCGCGAGATCAGTCGCTGCTGAATCTGGAACGCGGCATCGCCTCGCTCTTTCAGCTGCGCCGTGACAGCAGTGACGCGAAAGAGACCGAGCTGGACATCTCGGGGCATTGTCGCGTGGAATACAAAGTGAAATCCTCGACGCGCTGGGAGAAGACGAAGCGAGATTGCGCGCTATGGGACTTACGAGTCAACTACCATCCGGAGCAGGCACTGGGCGTGGCCCAGCACTCCGAGCAGCAGCTCAGCTACGATCTAAGCGCCGAGGGTCTCCTGCTGAGGGCCGAGTCTGTGGAGACGCATCGCCTGACGCTCGCTGCCAAGCCGGATGCCGGGAGCGTGGTGCATAGCAAACTCCGACTGCAGCACCTAGCCGAGGGCGAGGGAGTGGAGCAACTACAGCAGCCAACGCTGGCAGCGGCCATTGAGAGTCTCCTGGAATGGTATCGCGTCTTCGAGCTGGAGGCAGACGTGGATGGCGAAATCAGCAAGTTGAAGGAGCAGACGGTAAGAGTTGAGCTTCTGCTGGGAATTCAATAAATAAGAATCCGCTCCATTTTAGCTTCAATCACAAGTGGAGCTCATGCTGGAGCAACTGAAGCCGGAGCATTTGGGCAAATCCTCGTTAGCCTCGACCTTCGTTCAGCTGTTGCCCTTGGCGCGTCTCACCAAGCAGCCGGAGTTCGAGTCGCTGCTGGAGTCGCAGTCGCCGTTGGCAGCGCAGCTGGTGGATCTGCTGGGCGCCGTGCAAACCTTCGAGGCGCACAACGCCAGCTTCAGTCATTTCTATCGAGGAGCGGGTACTACGGCGGAGTCCTTGGAGCTGCTGGAAAAGTATTTGCAATCCTTGGCCGTGGCCACGCACCCGGAACGTCGCATCCTGGAGCATCTCTACGACTTCCTGCAGCAGAAGCTGCCCCACAAATCCCATCTCAAACTGCGGGACAGCGTGCTCCAAACGCTGGCCACGCTCACTCGCCAGAGCGGCCTCGACGCCAATGACCAGCTGCTGCAGCAGATCCGCAACTACCTCCTGGAGGGATTGGCTTCCACCCACAATACTCTGCTCTATACGCGCGCCTTGCAGAACCTACGCGATCCGCTGACTATCGATCCACTGCTCCAGCAGGCACTGCAGTCGCAGCAGCCCCAGCACTCGGTTGCCGCTCTCCAGGCCCTCAAATCATTTCCAGCCTTCAGCTACGCGGAGCCACATCGTCAGCAGTTCTCGAGCATTTTCTATCAGCGCCAGCGACGCTACGACAGCTCCGCTCGCACTCTGGCCCTGGACATCCTGCTGGCCATGCGACCCAGCGCCGAACAGTTAGGCGAACTGCTCGACTATTTGGCTTCCACGGATCGCCAATTCGAGATCAAGACCTATGTCCTGCAGAAGCTGCGCATGCTGGCCGAGATCTGTCCACGCTTCCGGTCCATGTTCCAGACGGCGCTCAGGCAGCGAGCTCATGTCAACAACTACAATGTGCTGGCCCAACGAGGTAATCCCGGCAAGAAATTGGAGTTGCCTAAGATCTTTATATATTTCCTTTATCTCCTTCTAGGCCTCACCACCGTCTTGAGCCGCCAGCTCTCCACATCGCCCGCCTTCAATGAAACCCTGCTGAGCATCCAGGAGGTGTCCCAAGGCATCTTGAAGCGCGGCTCCGTGGAGTTCCTGCTGCACGCCGGACGCGCCGAGGCGAGCAGCTTCAAGCTGGGCATTTACACGGCTGGGCTGAGCTCCTTCATGGGTGACAGCGATGCGGACGAGGGTAACGATCAGATACCGGCCGACGACGAGCTGGAGCAGGAGGAGACCATGACGGCGGGCATGGAGATCAGTGTACAGGGAGCCCAGCTGCGTCCGCTGGTCTTCTTCAATGGCCAGACGGAGCTGATGGGTCATGTGTGGGGCGGCAGCGCCTCGGACACGACGCCAGCCTATCAGGCCACCACATTGGCCCAGGATCACGAGCAGTATATTATCCTGGCATCGGGCGCCACTGTCCATTGGCGTGTGCTCGGCGCTCGAAGTGTCGATCTCAATGGCAAAGTCACCTTCAGTCTGTGGAATCGCAATGCCCAAACGGAAATACAACAAAAGTGAGCAGGTTCAAGCAAAGAGAGGGAAAGGGGAATGTGGGCTGACTCATATAAATATTACTTATGAAATGTTATTCTCATGCAGCACTGGCACCGCTGTCGTTTCCCACCTGGCCGTCGGCTTCACCTATGCCAAGCTGGAGCAGCAAATTGAGCTGCGCCACGAGCCGAAGCTTAGTTTGCAGGCGGATCTGGATTTCTACAGCAACATCAAGCTCTGCATGCAGCTGGAGCGTGCCGAACAACTGCTCACGTAAGTCCAAATGGTCCGCTTTGATAATTAAATCTTCTTATATCTATCTCTCTTCCACAGTCTTTCCAATACTCGCTCGGTTTATCTGCAATTGGTGGACAAACCCTATGCCAAGCATTTCCGCTCAACGCAAACTATAAAGTCACCTGGTCGCACTTTTGTCCTGAATCAGAAGAACAACGAGATGTGCAACATGATATTAGCAAATTCCTGAGATTAAAATTGCATTTATATCTGAATACCAAATTTATACTATGTAAAAAAGCTGAGAATAAGACTCAAAGTAATTCTAAAATGGTAAAAACGTTGGTTTTTATGAACAATTTGCGCATAATTCAAATGAGCGCCTAAGCATGATTTGCATGAAAAATTATTCTGCACAATTATTCTAATGTCGTTTTTAAATTTTACAGCACTTACATTTAAAGGCGCGCTTGTATTGCCCAGTGCTGCATAATTTACTGTTAACTCAAAAGGCTATGTTCACTAACCAGAGAACACACATTTTTTTATAAACCGATAAATTAAATAATCGACTTTAACATTAGTTTAACAGTAGATGTGCGCAAACAACTTTATTAATCAAATAGTAACCATATTAGTATATTTTTAACCAAATAATGTGACTCAATTTTGTATGAACTAGATAGAATTTAAATTTTTACGTAAACCCAATGGCTTTATTGATTATTATTTGTTATTTCCTGTCAAGCTCCAAACAATGGCAGTCACAGTTTTTGTTATCAATCTCGCCAACACTGTTAAGAAACAGCTGCGCTTTGAGAGTCTGTTAGTCTAACAGTCAGTTTACATCAGCTTGTGTCGCGGGCAAATTTCATTTTTGTTACAATAAATTAAATCATCAAATAATAAAGCAATAAAGTTTAAATGCAAATTGCATTGAAGGTGCTAAGAGGTAAATAGACTGTGCGCGAATGCCAATTTAACTATTGGCTTTACAAATTAGGGCGAATCTCAAGAGTGTCGACGCTTTTACAATATTCGAGTGCGTGCAGGCGTGTTTGTGTGTATGTGTGTGATGGAGGCCTGGCCGCACGCACACTTGTCAAACGCTGGACCGTCTCTAGAGGCCTAATATTTTGTTCCGTATACGTTTACTAAATATAAAGCCCTCTTGTTTAGGTTGTTTATTTTAACCATTGTCAGTAGTAAAAAGCGTTAAACATATTAATTCACATCTTGTGTGGCTCTCTGCTGTATTGGATATGATTTATAAAGAGAGGTGCTAACTAAATGTTTACAATAACAAAAAAAGCAACAAACGGTTTCCTCTGCCAGACCAGCAACAACGCACATGCAGAGTACACGAATGAGAGAGTGACAGAGAGACTGGTGTTTGTAAGAGAATCCAGAACAAAATTATGCTGAGAGCAAATCGCAAACGTTGTTGATGTTGTTGTTTTTGTTATTGTGACGTGTTACGTTTTGGTGTCCGTTTGGGTATTTTTGTGCTTGTGTGTGGGAATTTTTACGTCGCGTGAAGTTCCATTAAAACAAACCACGTGTGAAGAGTGTTGCATTTGAGCAGTGCTTGGGGTATTGCTAATATTTGGCATTTATTTAATACTGGTTATGAGAGCTCTGTTCTAATCTGAGTGCATGTATATATATGGTTGTTGCCCAAATGAGCACTATATCAACTAATCAGCCGGTATAAAAAAACGTACATGTATACGTATTTCAGCTAAATAAAATCACCCACATACACACATACAGATGCAAAGGCACCCAGACATGAGTTCAGCGTGAGAGTTTGGGAGAGTGAGAGAGAGGGTTGTCGCCACACAAACATACTTAATCACGCATACTTGCGCATATTTGGCGCTCGTGACTTTTCTCTCTTGCTGTCGCCCGTAACGGTATCAAAAGCGCGCTCACGCCTCAATGGCTGGCTGGCCGTAACGTCAATTCAGTTGATTTTTAACGCTCGCAGCGCAAGGTAGTCGCAGCAATTGCGATAAATTTGTTCGGTTAGTGTGTAAAAAGGCACCAATGTGATTTTTGTAAAGCAACGAGAAAAAAATACAAATTAAAATATAAAAAATAAATAAATAACAACAGCAAAGTTTGTTTTTTGCTGCCAGCCAATAAAATTGTCACTCTCTTAACCTTTTTCCATCACATAGAATTTTACCTGTGAAAGTGAAAACATAAACGAACGAGCCAAGCAAAACAAAAACGCGTGTGTGCAAGCAGCAACGAAAAAAAAGAATCAGAAAAAAACACAGTGTGTGAGCAAAAGAGAGAGAAGGAGGCCAGCATAAGAACCCAAAACATAACGAAAACAAATATCGACAACTGCAGCAGCAGACAGAAAAAAAGAAGCAACGAAGACGGAAATAAGCAAAAGCAGCGAAAACAACAAGAACAACTGAACATAGCCAACGTCAGGTAAGTGCATCGACTATTGTCTCGCTCGCACTCATGCAGGCCATCAGCCAAATTAGCTTGCTGGTCTTTTCTATGTGTCGTTTTACCAGGGCTTCTACATACATATGTATATTTTTTATTCTAGTGTAAATTTGTAATTTCCATTCCCCAAATTGTGAGTCAGTCGCGCAGACTCTAACCATAAATTTAAATATTTATCTTAGGGTTCTTTTTTTGGTTTTTGTTACTTACATTTTCACCTCCATGGAGGTCCGCAGTTTTTGTTTTTTGTGTCGAAATGTGTCTGATTAGATAGAGACAACAATTTCAACCTTGCACAATTTATGAGCTGTCTTTTTTTTATGGAGGGCTCTATGAAGTGAGCTTGTGTATGATTATATAGTTAGAACAAGAATGAGCTTTAAAGAGCATAAACAAAATATAAAAAATTTGTTACATAATTTAGTGGTCGCTCGATAAGATCGTCCAGCCTAAATTGTAAAAAAAAAAATTTGAAAGGGACTGGATGATGAAAGATATTCAAATTGATTTTCTTTTCTTTTTCTTTTATTTTTGATCAAATAATTAAAAATAATTTAGTTATTCTGGTGTTGAATAAATTTGATTTGTATTATATTTATTTTTATGATTTTTATTAATTCTCTTTTATTTTAATTATTTTTCTTCGAATTCTGGCCTGTAAAATTTCTTTATAATAATAATAACTGATAAAACTTCAGCTAATGTACAAAATAGATCCCAAATAATAACGGATAAAATAATAAATCTGACAAAAGTAATTTATATTTTATGGGCTTGAAAAATTCCCCGTAAGTCCACAGCACAGCCACAGGCATTACTTTACCGTAGAAACTAACCGAAATAGATTATGATGCATGCTTTGGCTCGGAATGACTCACAATAAACAGTTTATTAAAAGTTTATCATTTTGCTATCGTTCGATTCACGAAATGTTAATTTTGAAGGAAAATATAGCAATATTTTGAGCTCCACCCACAAGTCGAGAATTACAGACGACGTCGTAAAAAACTTTTAATAAATAAAAAAGGTTCTAAAAACTTGTTATATTCACATGTTTTGCGTGGAGCTTGAATAATTACTTCGTTTACGACGGGCTTTGACTTTGGCTTGAACTTCGACTAAATGAAAAAAAAAAATATATATATTTATAAATAAAAGTTATGCAAAAAAATGTTGCTTAAATCAATTTCGATGGCAAACCGTTAGATATTTTGGTTATCTTATCAGCGTCGACGACCCAATTAGGCAGCTTAGCTAGTATCTAGAGAATAGAGATGAATATTTACGAATTATATGTATGTATATAAGTATTTCGCACATTCTCACAAAATGTTTATCTCACTGGCAAATAGACAAATTATTGCTTTGCGTAGCTGTCACAAATGACCATCGAATCGTTCGCTCAATTGCCCGCGAAGAGAGAAAAAAAAACAGTTGACTCAAAAACCGGGTTCATGTCTTTAGCCACGGCGCGGTGGTCTATTCAGTCAGTCAGTCAGTCACTCACGTGAGCCGCAAAACGACTTTTCAAATTTTTTTACACACATGAGACTGTAAGCAATCAAGTGAAAAAATATAGCAATTACCGATCCGTTCGTATGCCGTTCAAGCGCATGAGAAACAGTTAAGACCAAGTTAAAAGAGCGTGCGAGAGGGTGAGAGGCGAGCAAATACTCTATTTCACTGTGTATAGAGCAATGAAAATGGATAGAAATTATTAAGATGCACAACTATTATATGATATTTAATAGAGACAGGCAGACAGATAGAGAGAGAGATTAACGTAAGTCGTTTAAACATCATTAAAAACATTTCTGACACCTAAAAGCGCTATCAGCTGTAAATATTAACAGGCTTTTCTAAACGATCCAAAAACTAATCTAATGTAGAGATATAAAATATTATAGTACTTATATATAGATAAGGAAGTATAATCGAAAGATTTGGAGGTGGAACTTCAACTTAAAAATAAATTGTATAGGCAAATATAAAATATAATTGATATATGTACTAATATTATATAATCTTAATATCTCAATATTATAATCAAATGAGATTTCATAGAAACAAAAAAGAAAGACAGGGGATTGAGAGAGAGAGAGGGATGTTTACAGTTGATCTCATAGTACGAAATAATCCAGCTACCTCCTTGTCCAGGGTATTTTCTAATATGTGTTTGTAGGGAAGGCATGTGTGTGTGTGACTAGTGGGTCCAACGTGAATCGAATCAATCGATTCGAATAAGTCGACAGAGCAGCTTGAACTCGAATCGCCTATCGCAAATGTCGCTGACGATTTGTTGTAGTACGTGACCAGGCGACGACGTCGATCGATTCGATTTATGCTCTGAATCATCGCAAACAGATGATGGGAAATTCAGCTTAAAAGCACGCAGACGAGACGAAGCTGGTAGCTCAGTTGATTTCTGATTCTCCAATTGAGATTCGAGTTTATTTTTATATACTATTATTACTTTATGGACTAGTCTCTCAACCAGTTCGTTCAACTTTAGTTGCTGTTGTTGTTTGTTAGTTTTATCTATTTGTTGATTGGTCTGTGGCAACGCGACCAACTAACCCACTGAAAAAACTTACCCCACTAAAGTACTCAGTGCGTGTGTTCGTACATGTGTGTGTGTGTGTGTGTGTGTGTGTGTGTGCGTGTGGCTGACAGGTAAATGGTTTTTCTTTCACAAAATCGATAGGCTTTATTTGAGTTTGCTTTGAGTCTGTCTAAAATTGCTGAGCTGTGCGTTTTATTTATAGGTGACAGCCCCGTTTGACCTGTCACGGCGTTTGCTCGTTGTGCTTATCCTTCAATCCACTAGCTACAAATTCGATAG